TGTTCAAAGAAACAATTTTTCTCGTCTGTTACGCAAAATGTCAGTTTACAATTAGAACATTCGATGGTTGATCGAACTTGCACTTCTTTTGTGCTACAGTAAGTACATTTCTTCCGGATCTCCTTGACAGACAAATGCATTCCAACATCTAACTGAACAGCAGATTGTAGTGCTGCTAATTTATGCTTCTTGTCTGAAGCAAATCGTCCAGGATTTGTTCGCTCACCGCCAGATCATAGGGACTCAGCCATGGAAACCAAATAATTCAAGCATGATAATTCATTCTGACTTAATCGTTTGTAGCAGATAAATGAATTTGCTAAAGATGTATTGAAGAAGAAAATGAAAAGTCGAAGCCAGTTCTTTCTAGACTTTGGATTAAAGGTGTAGCCAGATATTCTTTGATTGAATCGATCAACTCCATGTATAAACTTACTGTAGTCCTTTATTGCTTTCTGGCAATTAATCTCGACGAGCTGAGGGTATGGGTGTGGGTTTTCATTTACAGCTCGCCCACATCCTCTTGTAAAAGCATATGCCAGAGGAAGAGAGAGAAACTATGATGTTATTGTGCGATCACAGAAGGAAAAGCAAATATCTGAGAAGAATATGAACAGCATCAAGAAAAGATATATATAATATGATAGTTGAAGAACTCCATAATCTCTATGTATAAGAAATTTTAGCACTTGTTTGCAAATGAAACATTTTCTCTCTCGGATAAATAGGTAGTACAACCCTTGTACCACGGTTCTGAAAGGGTTAATTGGACGTCATTCATGATATTTTTGCGTTTAATTCTTATCATTGATATCTCAACAAACAATATTCTTCACTATTATCTTTTATTGATATGAAATTCCCTTCTAGAATATTTTATATGAATCTTTTTTGTTTTTTTTTATTGACGATGTATTTATTTGAATTCAATGGCGAAGTGCAATATTAAAATGAAAATACGGATTTCAAAGCTATTTTTAAAGAGAAAAAAAAATGTAGAAAAGAAGCAAAACATGATATAGATCATGGTCTTCAGAGTAATAATGGATGGCATGTATATATGTATCGGAGTATATGGAGATCTTTGATAGACACGACGATATATTTCAATGATGAGCAAATTTCAATACTCATTACTAAACTAGATAGTACTTAATCGATATTTAACATAAATCATTTGTTCTTCATGACTAATAACATAAATTCTTTACTGTATTAATGATTATAAAGTACACATTAATATACTCATTATAGACATATGAATTATCATATATGTAAGAGAAAAAAGAAAAATTTCATTTCATAACAATTGTTATAAATGATATTTGAAATTATAAAAAGGTATAGATAGTTTGTGTTTTGGTTATAAATAAAGACAAAGTTTTATTTGTTTATATGAAATCTCAAAAATAAAATCAACACTAACCGCTTATCCGATCAAAATGAGTTCCAAATTGAATTTTTGTAATATTTCGAAAAGGATTATTAATTTCCTTGTATTGTCTCATTTTTAATAAGATTTCCAATGACATTAGAAGATCTGACTTGACAAAATTTCTATTCCGTCCTTAAAAAAAAAAAAAAAAACAAGAATTTTATTTTAGATATTGTTTTACTATTCGTTAATATGATTCAGCAGAAAACAAGATAAACTAACATTCTTGAGAAATTCTCGTTCTCAATATGAATTCTTTCTAATTTTCTTGTTTATTCTGAACTAAAAACAAAAACAAAATTAATATGAGTGTCCAGAATGAATGGTGATCTCCGTGTTTATTTCATATCTCATTCTTTTTTTTTTTTAATCAAAAGATTTGCTGTATAATTCCACATAAAAAAGTAAGTTTTACTCGAAAACTTCTTAACCATTCATCTTTAGATACTTGAGGGAGAAAGAACAAATACTTCACTCATGAAGTCCTATGAAGTTCAGTAAATCTTTTGAAGTCTATGCAATCCTTGGTATGTCTTATGAAGACTGTCTAAGTCTATCTTTCCTCTTCTAGATAACAGTGAGATTAAAATTAGCATTACACAACTTTGAAAACCTTGACTTTTGTTATTGTTTTTCTTCCGAAAATATTCAATTCCTGAATGAATTTTGGTGTTTATGGTATAACACATTCTGCACTTGAGTCGTTAACTAAATCGACTTGAATATGTTGATTGAAATCTATTAATTCACCTGTTAACTCGCTATTATATCATGCTAAAAACATAAGAAATTATTCAGGAATTGAATATTTTCAGAATAAAAAAAACGTGAATATATGCTGATTGTTAATTCTGCTATTGTATAAAGACGAATGGATCAATAGTTTTTCAATTAAAACTTACTCTTATTGTCTGAAATAAGACAGTAAATCTTTTAATAAAAATATAATTCGTAAACTATCAAAAAAACAAGCTAAGTCACCATTTATTCTAAAGCACACGTAATTATAAAACACAGTGAACCATGTAAATTTGTTGACTGATCTATTTCTTCAGTGATGAAGAAGAAAAACATTGAAATGAAAAAACAATTTACTTGTGTATACTTTGATACAAGAAAGATTAGGAGTTAATTGATTAATTCCTTGAAGAATTAAATAAAGTGATGGATGTAAATCAAACCAGACATCGCCAATATGTGGCCAATTGAAAATATTTGAATATTTACTAAAAGAAAAGAATTTTATTGAATTAAAAAGTTCTTCAAATTTTCATAAAGAAAAATATCTTACATAAAATTATGAGAAAATTGAAATGTATTTGTAAAAGAAGAGAAAATATGTTGAGATAACATTATTGGATCAAAAAAACATTTAACATTTGTCCATTGATGATTAAGAAAAAAAGAATGATTTTTAAATGAATTTGTTATTTTTTCTATATCATTGAATGATAATTGACGTTGTGAACAAATATAGAAATCGAAATTATTTAAATTTTTTATTCTATCAGGTAAACAATTTTGACGAATGAAATTTGCATCAATCAATGATTTCCATATCTCTTGAGATTTTCTTTCATCGAGTTGATCATTTTTAAGATGAAGTTGAAGTTTTTCAACATAATTTAAATTATTGAGAAGCCATTTCAAATAAATAAATTGCCAATCATCATAAATAAAAGTTTTTAAACTAAAATATCTTAGTTTTGATAACTAAAAACAAAAGAATATATATTCAATTATTAAAAAGAAAAATATTTTTTTTAAAATTTTTTCAAATAAAAAATATGATATATTTCATTGGTTTACAGGATTTACTGTCCACGGATTTACTGTCCATTGATTGTTTTTCTTAGAAAATTGTTTTTTTTCTACAGAAAGTATAATTTTTGCTGCTGAGGATTTACTGTCCATTGATTGAATAACTTTTTTTTTTCAATTAGTGTTTTTCTCGTTTGAGGATTTACTGTCCGTTGATTGCCTCGAAGAATTGAAATGAACAGAAAAATATTTATCGCAATCAACTATGTATATTTAGAAAAAAAAAGAATTCAAACAAATATATGAGGAAATAACAAAGAGAATAAGGAATTGATTAATAAATAAACCAAAAAAGATGAATGGACGTTCAACTTTTTGGTGGACGCTGAAAATATCTAAGTCCAGCAGCTTTTAAGAATGATGGAATATCGAGACGACCTTCATCATAACGGCTGCCATAATTTAATTAAACATTCATCTGTTATAACTTTATTTTTTCGACGCTTTGGAGTTGGAGCTCCCATATTATCTCGTAATCTTGAAATAGATGCTAATGATTGTTCTTTTTGCAATAAATCAATTGCAACATAAATATTGAGATGCGGAGCATTTACATGCTTCTTCAATTATACGATCAATAGGACTAGATTCTTCGATAGCTTTTCGTTTTAGATTTTGTCGCATTTCTAATACTTCTTTATCAGTTTCGTCAGGTAGATGTGTATGATCTTCACGAACAATTACTGATAAATCTAAGTAACTTGTAGCTGTTGTTTGGCATTTAACACATATCCAATATTCCGAACCATTTTGATTCTTACGTTTCAAAGAATATCGATAACTGAGGTAGCATAATTGTCGTTTACCATGGGTAGATTCAGTAAATATAGCAGACATTTTTAGGAAGAGTATGATAAGAAAATTATATTCTTTGAACTTATATATATTTTTTATAAATTTTTGTCATATTAATGACTATTTTACCTCCCCCCCCCCCGCATTTGATGAGCATCTCTGATTTTAAATTGAAAATTTATTCAATAGTTCACTCATTGGTGACTTTTTTGTTTTTCAACATTTATGTCATTTTTTGTTCAGAAAAGGGATTGATTATCAAGACCATTACTCATTTATTAATTTCTCTTCTTCGAAGCAATTAATGGACAGTAAATCCTCAACCAAAAAAATACACTAATTGAAATATTCTATTTTTTCAATCAATGGACAGTAAATCCTCATACAAAAATAGCGTTAATTGGAATAAAATTTTTCCAATCAATGGACAGTAAATCCGTGGACAGTAAATCCGCGGACAGTAAATCGTGTACACGATTTCATTATTACTTTGTTAAACCAATTTCCATTTGATTGTTTCATTATTTCAACATTCGATCTCCATGATAAATCGAATTTTAATGTAGTATGAAATTGCACTGACATTTGTTCGAGATTAGGTATATGTTCAATAAGATTTTCAAGAAACCATGAATTTTCAATTCGAATATATAAACGACGAAGAGTTAAACAAAAAGATTGACGTTGATAGTCAACAGAATTCGATGAGACATAAGAGTTTGATGTTGAACATTCATCAATATCAACATCAAAAAGATAATAGTTTAAATCAATTCGAAGAGATGTTAAATGACATTGAGATGAAAATAGTTGACAAATAAGTTGTTTGATCATACGCATTCGTTTTTCTATTAATTGTCAAACAAAAATAATAGAGAAATATTTTTTATTATTTCAAGGAGAATATATTCACATTCAAGACAAAGCTTTTTCACTTTCGAATTTCTATTTAATTATCAACAATTTTTAAAAACGAAAATATTTTTATTTTTCAGTTATAGAAACAAATTTTATTCATTTTAGATTTAACAATGTGAAACTCATATTTATAACATGTCACTTTGTGTCAGTAAGACTCAAATATTAGAAATATCAAAGGAAACAAACAATAAAATAAATTTTAGTCTATTTCTATTCAATTAATTAATTAGTTAATTGTCATTTACACTGGATGACGCAAATGAATTACAAAGTAATTCAAAAAAACATTAATTACAAAATAATTCAAAACTGTTAAAGCAGGGTCTACCAGAGTCTACCGGAGTCTCCAGGATCTTCACGTTCAACTATTGCTTGGGCTTATTGGCGGCAAAACGACTCACACCACATCTCTCTCGGTGTGGGTGCCACGAAACCCTGGTAGATCGTGTCAGTGATACTTTTTGAATTATTTTGTAATTCATTTGTGTCATGGTCTCGTCATTTAAATCAGTCATTATATAAGATAAAAAAATCAAAGACGATTTACGTATAATTAAAAACTATTTTTTCAGATCTAACAATTTTTTTTAGTCAGTTAACAATCAATTATTAAATTGTATATTTTTATTTATCATGCTAGAGAAGACCACAGGATGGTTTCTTTTTTCTCCTACTCTGACTGCTGCAAGACAAAATCAGTCAACCCTTCCGCTTTCCATGACACATGGTGGACCATTGAAAAGTTCGTCCTGCGCATTGACAAGAGTAAAAATTTATTAATATAAATTTCGATAGCCAAATATTATCAAAGTAATAATTCTATAAAATCATTTATAAGAAATTCTGTTAATAATCTCTATCACTCATATTCCTTAGAAAAAAAGTCACCAAAAACAGTTGACATGCGTAAGCTGAATACAAGTATAAGAGAACAAAGGTAGAGATTCATGATTTACAATATAATTAATAGAAACATATGAAAAACAAGGACAAGTTTTTTTGTGAAACACGATCTGAAAGGAGTGTTGAAGTGTTTAAGGATAGAAATTTGGACCCATCTCCTCCTCCCCACAGACCGTGACAGACGAGCTTTGGACTCATCACAGACAGGTCTCTGGACCCATCACAGACTGTGGCAGACAGGGCTTTGGACTCATCACAGACTATGACAGACAGAGCTTTGGACCCATCAAAGACCGTGACAAACAGGGTTCTGGATTCATCACAGATCGTGATAGACAGAGCTTTGGACCCATCACAGACTGTGACAGACAGAACTTTGGACCCATCACAGGCCATGATAGACAGGGCTTTGAACCCATCACAGACCATGATAGACAGGTTTTGGAGCCGTCACAGATCGTGACAGACAGGCTTTGGACCCATCACAGACGGTGACAGACAGGGCCCAGGAGTCATTATACACTGTGATAGAAGACTTCAAGGAAATATCAGAAATGATACATAACTAACATATGATTGGAAACATATATAGAGAATTATCCTGTTCAAAGTCTATCATGTAAGGTAAACTATTATGAAGAAATGTAACCGAATATGCATAAAACAATAGCTTTTAGAACATCGACTATAGCAGCTACATCGTGTTTCATATTTTTAATTTCACAAGAGATTGCGCTAACAGCCTTTTTTTATACTGGTTGCTCTTGAATTTCTCCTGTGAACAAATAAATAATGTTATCAGTTTGACTTGGTGATAAACCTACTCATATTTGGGCAAATGTCAATCCAGATAAGCTGAATAGTTTTTTTAAAGAAGTATTGGTCGCTGTTAAGACATGTATTTTTATAACTACTATTTATATTAATAAAAACTACGACAAGTTCCATTATTAGACCAGAACTTTATTGAATCTCCATCGATTAGGTGACTCGAGTGTATAGATGTGCAGGGTAAGTTGTTTTTTCATACTCTGTACTTTGATTGAGCAAAAAGTTCTGCCATTACCTTACCGTATAATATTTAAACCCTTATCCTATCCTAATCTGTAAAACTTCTGTATCTACCTTTTCCTACGAGAGTGTGGGTAGGCATGGATGTAAATGTGGCTGTGGATGATCGAAAAAGGAAAACTCACACCCAAACACTCACATCCAATGTTGAATTTATCTCTGAAAGAATTTCTATCGGTTGTAAATGTTCCTAGTCAAAGATGAATTGTTCAAGATAGAGATAAAACTCATTTTATTTTTGAAATATGTACAAATAAACAATTGATTACTTTGATTGAAGACCTTTGATGAATTTTCACTTATTTTGATATATCCGTCTCTGAACATTGTGTCATCAAATGTTAATGTAAGTTCATCTAATTGATGTTCAATAAGATAAAATAAACTTCGAACTACTGGTTCAATTGATCCACATCGAATAAGAATAAGAGATTTAAGATTTGGAAAATTAAGAATATTATTATGATTAAATAACCATTCATAAATAAGATCAGAAGCAATTGAATTTGTTTCATCAAAATGAATACGTTGAATAGAAGAAGAAAGAGATGATGATTTCAAAATTAATAAAAATAAAGTCGAACATTTATTATAAGATAAATCTGACGTAATTCGAAGGCCAGTGTTGAATCGATTATCATTTATAGAAATTATTGAACGCACAAGAGAATTGAAACGAATATTTAATGACCAAAAAGACGTTAACATATCAAACCATTCAAGATAAGAAAGAATACAATGAAGAATTTCATTAGGTAATGTTTCTATACTTGTGCTAGGAATCATTTTATCTAAAGAAGAAAGTTATTTTATGCTTTTATTTTTCTACATTCAATCATTGATAATCATCAGTCAAATGACTGACGTCATGATATGAAAACAAAAAGAAAATTATATTTGTTTTTCAAGACTTCATGAATATTATTGCAGTTCAAACAATTTTTACTTAAATTAAAAAAATCATTTCAAAACAAAAAAAAAATACATTCAAGTCTCAAAACTCCAATCAAACAAGACCGTTTGGTAGATAAATAAGAATGTTTATCATTCATGTAAAAGTTCTACAATTAGTATATAAAATTAATGGTCTTAATCTTACAACTTTATTAATTCAATTTTTCATCTAATTATTGTACTAAGAAAAAAATTTTCGCTATAGAAACGTATGAAAGAGCAAATGTTCATTTTTCTACCAGATTTTCTATTCTCGATTTTATTTCTTCTTCCAGATTAAAAAAGTCAGAAGACACTTTCTTGCTAATATAATATGCCAGCGAATAAATCGATAATATGATTGGAAACAAAAAAAAAGCAAGTAAATAATATCCAGTTTAAGCTTACTATATTTGAAAGTATACACTTTAAAAATTAAACTTCTAGAAGAATATATTCTCTTGAATATGAAATCACTACATTGATTCAATCAACATAAATCATAACTGTTTTTCACTACTGGAGAAATTTATTCTGTGAATGATTGTAGATGAATAAAAAGTTTCTACACCGAATGAATATGGACATAACTTATTCAAAAAATTATGAACCAGTTCACATAGATCTACGACCAGACATTCACATAAACTGCTCAATCGTGGTCGTCAGATTTTGCTCAATTTAAGATATGTTGCAAGGAAAAGAGTTTTAAGAATTTTCTCACAAACTGTTTGAAAAATGGTCTTCCATTCTCAAAATACTTAAACTTTTCTGAGAATACTATAGTTAAAAAAGTAATCTTTTCATAACTTTCATATCTGACTCAAAATACATCGATTTGGCTTGAAATTTTTACTGTACAGACATCTCGAATTAATGTACTTACAATAAAAAATAAGTTCAAATGATCATTTGAGGAGAATCTATTCTTTTCTATATATACATAGTTTCTTTATTCAATCAAAATAAAACGTCGAAGAAAACATATTAAGACAATACATACATAGACTATTGCAGAACATTCAACTGAATGTATATTATATGATATAATGTTCAAATATGCTGTTTCACTTGTTTGTCAATATATGTCAGGAAAAAGAAGAAAGAGAAATGTTCATTTCTTTCTTCATGCAAGTGGGAAAAATTTAATAAAAATATTTCTATTCAGTCGATGCAACGAACATGTTGAGCATTCGTCCGTCCAGTTCATGATGAAAAAGTCACTGTATACTGTTTTTTTTCCTGTTGACGGTAATATAGCAAGATATATATCAATTTTTGACGTCAATAAAAGACAAAAAATACATATGAGTTGATGAGAATAAAGAAAAAGAAGTACAATATAACGATATAGAGAAAAACAAGCGGCGACGATTGTTTTTCTCTATATCAAACAAGTCAAATAAATAAATCATAATTCTTCTCCTTTCGTTATGGATTCATATATGAAAAGAAATTGTTATAATGGCAAGGGGGAAACAGCAGAGACTTCAGCCGTGAAGTCTCATGTAGTCTTGAAAGTCTTCTGAAGTCTTATGAGGTCTCACAAAGTCTCTTGAAGTCTCTGAAGTCTCAAAAAGTTTTATGAAGTCTCATAAAGTCTTATGAAGTCTCATGAAGTCTCTTGAAGTCTAATGAAGTCTCTTAAAGTCTAATGAAGTCTCATGAAGTCTCTTGAGGTTTTTTGAAGTCTCATGAATTCTTCTGGAAGTTTTGAAATACATTTATCCCAAGGCAAACAATCAGACACTAAGATCGGACAAGATTCTGTGTCTGATCATGTATGATCTTGTACCATTCATACCAAATCGTACAAAAAATCTTAGTCTCTGAAATCTTACATCAATTCTTACAGTAAGACTCTTGACAGATTTTGTTGTCTTACCAAATCTTACTGTAAGATTTTAGAAAATCTTATGCGACGGTTGGATCTGATAGAAATCTTGCAGTAAGTATTGATGTAAGATTTCAGAGACTACGATTTTTTGTACGATTTCATATATTAGTACAAGATCTGCTGTCATATTTTTTGACCTGGATAGTGCATGAAAATTCATAAGAAACAAATGAAACTCTTGTTTTCGATGGTCTTATTTTAGCAGAAAGGGGAACTTTTTATTTTTTTTTCAATGTGCTGGAAAAAAACTCAAGTTTGTTGGATCTTAGAAAACATGATAGTTAATAACTGAATGCTTTTTGAATGAAGTGATTTATTTTTATGGGAAATATTCCATCTATCAAATATCAATTTTATGAAGAATTTTATTCCTTTTTGTTTGTTTCTATCACTCGTGACAATCTATCAGCCGATGAACGGCTAGCTCTGTCGGTCAATAAGCAACCAGCCGTTTGCTTGCGTATAAATTTAGTCTTGTTATTTATTTGCACCTGAAAGTAGAAGTTTTTTAATGCTGGATTAATCGAATCAACTATACGCGTACCAGTAAAGTTTATTGTCTTAGTTTCAATTTCATCAACGCTTTGTATCATTACCACATCTTTATTCTAGATATAGATATACTTCAAGAAACAATTCTTCTCAGAAACAAGAAACACTTTTGTAATCTCTATATGATAAGTTTTGTTTTTTGCATGTTATAGAAGTCTCATGTAATTTCTATAAGGTTTTTTGATACTCATAGAATCTGCCTCTTGAAGTCTTGTGAAGTCCTATGAAGTTTTATGAAGTCTAGCGAAGTCTTGTGAAGTTTTATGAAGTCTTGTGAAGTCTTGTGAAGTTTTATGAAGTCTTGTGAAGTCTTATGAAGTTTTATGAAGTCTTGTGAAGTCTTACGAAGTTTTGTGGAGTCTGGCAAAGTCTTGTGAAGTTTTATGAAGTCT